ACTTGGTTTATTCCATCGTCATAAACATTAATTCAAGATGGCTTTAGTGGGGTTTTTTCTACTAGATCATAGTTCTCAAACTTAAATGCAGTCAGTTCACCTGGAGATCTTGGTAAAATAAAGACTCAGATTTGGTTGGTCTGGCATGTGGCCCAGGAGTCTGCGTTTCCAGCAAGCTCCCGGGTAATGCCAACACTGGTGGCCTCTGGGCCATCCTTTGAGTGGCAAGGTACTACTTTTGACAAGGTAGTTGCCATGTCTCATTCATCTTTTTAATACCAGCTTTTAGCATAGTGTCAGGCTGATCATAGGTGGTTAAAACACATTTGTTGAATTGAAAGAAAGTGGGTTAAGATACTGGTGTTTCTGGAGTGTCTCCTTTAAATGTAAATATGTGATCTGGGCAGTATTAGAAAACCATTGTGGCTGGGATGGCAGAAAGTAGGGGGGGGCATGACTTGGGGCTCAGAGGGAGCTGAGTGGGACCAAGACTTCAGCTTTAGAGATCCAAAAACTCAATTTTATCTGTCTGTTTAGGTTCTGAAGGACTGACTGAAAATAATATATTAATATAATTATGTATTAATATAATATATTAATATAATAAGGCCAATTTACTCATTAACATGAGAGGATGTGTCTGTCTGTCTTTCCAGTGACTGAATTGCTCATGCATGCTAATGAGGTGCCCCCACCAACCACCCATGCCCTCCCCACCAGGCTCCCCGCCATCCACCCTGGGACCAACGTACCTAGGGACAATGTAGCTCAGAACATTGACTCAGAACACGTACAACTAAATGAACTTGTGGCAGAAATACAGCAGGTGAAAGAAAAGCTTGGCAAATTGTCCCTTTTCCAAACAAATTTCACTGCTGTGGTAGACTACTTCCTTTCTCCCAACTGTGGACTCTCTCCTTGGGTGGCATCAGATAAGGACGGATAAAGTCTTGCTTCTGAGTATCTGTGTTTCTGGATTTCGTGTTGAGCAGCCACTCCTCCTTCAGCCAACACATCCTTCTACCAGGAGGCCCAGCTTCGAAATAACTGGTTCTCTCTCAGCTCTTTCCAGCTGCACCTAGTCTCGATACATCCAGGTGGGCATTTTAATGGCGGGAGTGTGTGTGGCATCAAGTATTTCAGGGTGGGAGGCTTCTGCAGAGACAACTGAGTTGATTTGATGCTTACTCCCCTTGTTTCCCAATTCTGGGGCCCTCACATTTGGCCTTTTTTCTTTACAATACCACTGAGGGGGACAGATCAAGATCGAGCCAGTGGGCCGGCTGGAGAGCTGGACTCCCCTGTGGCCTGGGGTTCCCGTCAGCTGGGGAGCTGGCTGGGAAGGGGGCTCATAGCCTTGACCCACTTACACATTTGCCTTATGCTGTGCTGGCGTTTTCTTGAACTTCTTGTGGACAGTCAGCTTGTGAGTGAGTCTCTCAGCATATATTTTACCAACTAAGCCGCTAAGCATGTGACATCCTGTGAGTCACTTCTCTTCAGATTTCAGTTTCATCTTCTGTGAAAGGAAGGCTTTGGAAGAAATAGGCTCTAGGGTCTCATATAGCCCTAAGATTTATCAACTTAAAGTAATTTATCTTTATAACCTGCTTTAAAATACAACATTTTACTGACTTCTCACAATTCCACATTTACCTAAGAAGTGAATGAGTCTTAGAGAAGATAAATACTTTGTCTTAAATGGCCATACTCGGTCTCAAACACAGATCATTTTCTTAATCACTGACCGATAATGTCTGTTGGGGCCAAACCAGGAGGGTTTTCTACTTATCTGACTCCCTCGTTTCTCCCTTTTCCTGCCTCTTCCTCCTCTGGGTCTGGGCTGCTTTTACCTTGTCTTATTTCTGCTGTGTTTTCCATGTTCTCTCTCAGCCTTCTCAACCTCTTTCTCCTTCACCTTTCCTTCCTTCTCCCTCCCCTACTCATGCCTCTCTTACTTAGCCTTCTCTCTCCCCTGCCCTCTCTCCTCCCCCTGCATGCCAGCCTCTCTTGGTCAACATTGCTGGGTTTGGCTTTTGTAAAGATGTCGCCCCGCGCCTGGGTGAATCTGTGGGTCGGCAAGGGAGATGGTGTCCCAGCGTGGTCCAATGACCAGGGTGGTGGTTCCTAGTCTAGTGAAGTGGTTTCCAATTATCAGGTGAAGGATGGTCTGCGTTGGAATCACAAGTGGTAGGAAACAGGTTTGAAACCAAATGCAGATTCCTGGGCCCCAACCCAGAGACTTTATTCAGTAGGGTCAAGGTAAAAACTTAATACTCCGTATTTTTGAAAAGCTCTCTTGAGATAATTACTATGAGCAGTAAGGTTCATACCTTGCTTTTGGGACCTGTACCCACCAGGTCCTGTCTCTGGGGGTAAGCCAGGGAGTGGCCCAGTACCTGCAGTGGTACCAGGAGGGTTGCCTCGGGTAGAGGCCTTCCTTGTAGCTCACGGGACATCAGTTAGTGAGTTTGGCGCCTGCTCCTTCCCCATCCTAGGTGGATGTCCCATAGGTGGTATGTCTGGATCAATAGAGGATGCTCCTTGCTTCCGCCACATTTGGGCAAGTGGTTTTCTGATGTGCATTCCACCTGTTATTTGCTATAAGTCCCCAAACCAGAAATAAGTCCATTCTTTTTATCCTTTTTGACGACACTTCCTTCTCTTATACAGTTGTCACCTCTGTTATTGGCTGGAAACAGGTAAGAAGAGAGCAGTTTTCACTCAATTGCCTCTAATAGAACATGAGTTTCCTAATTAGTTTAATTAGTTTTCTAATCAAATACCATAACTTTCCCCCATGAGCTCTCTGGGTTCTGACGGCCACACATGAAGAATTGGGTAGAATCTTTGATGTCATCTAATCTCTGCCACACTAATGAATCCTCCCAGCCTGTTGCTAAAAGGCACATGTGCTGTGTCACCAAACTCTTTGTGGGGATCACTGTCTGCCCTTGGTTTACACCATGTGCCCTCAATGGGGACAATATCACCCCCAAGAGGGTGACAAATTATAACTTTAGATACTACAATGGTTTGTGGCCCTCCAAAGGGCCACAGGACATAAAATATATAGATTATCTATGGTATTAAATTTTCATGGGGGGGGAAGGGAATAAGGGAACACATGTTGAGTAAGTTTCTTAGGGAAGACAAAAACTAGAAAAAGGGTTGAGAAAAACTAGTTTATGTAAAGGAGTCTGTGTCTCTGGCTAAGAAGTTATAATTAAACCAAATCATCCACTAAAATACACTCGTTAGATATTATCTCACTCACCCACACAGCACTTCTGCTTAGTCTTCTTATTTCTTAAAACACACACACGCACACACACGCACACACACACACACAGGCACACACACACACACAGGCACACACACACACACACTAAGGAGTAGATACAAAATGACATTATAGAATACATACCAACTACAGGGTTGGGATCCAGTCAACACTCTTGCCCTCACCAACAACTGTGAGAAGAGAAAAATGTCATTATTTTCAATGTCTTGTGTGTCTCTCAAATCTATCCTGCCCTTCCCCTCTCAGAAGTAATCATTTTCCTGAATTTTGATTACACTTCCACATACATGTTCACATTGTTCAGTTTTATGCATTTTTGTACTGTCTATATATGGAAGCATATAGTATATTATTATTTTGAGACATTCTATTTTCATTTAAAATTATGTTTTTGAAGTTCTATGTACTAGAGTTCTTCGGAGAAACAGAACCTATAATATATATACACATATATATAAAATTTATTATGAGGAAACGTCTCATGTGATTATGGAGACAGAGAAGTCCACCATCTGCTGTCTCAGGCTAGAGACGGTGGTATCACTGCAGTCTGAGTCTCAAGACCTGAGAACCAGGGTTGCTGATGGTATAAATCCCAGTGCAAGGGCAGGAGAAGACTATGTCCCAGCGCTGTCTCTCAAATCTATCCTGCCCTTCCCCTCTCAGAGGTAATCATTTTCCTGAATTTTGATTATACTTCCACATACACGTTCACATTGTTCAGTTTTGTGCATTTTTGAACTGTCTATACATGGAAGCATATAGTATATTATTATTCTGAGACATTCTATTTTCATTTAAAATTATATTTTTGAAGTTCTATGTACTAGAGTTCTTCGGAGAAACAGAACCTATAATATATATACACATATATATAAAATTTATTATGAGGAAACGTCTCATGTGATTATGGAGACAGAGAAGTCCACCATCTGCTGTCTCAGGCTAGAGACGGTGGTATCACTGCAGTCTGAGTCTCAAGACCTGAGAACCAGGGTTGCTGATGGTATAAATCCCAGTGCAAGGGCAGGAGAAGACTATGTCCCAGCGCAGAAGACAGGCCAAAAGAAAAAGGGACAGGTTCTTCCTTCCTCTGCATTTTGTTCTATTCAGGCCCTCAATAGATCGGATGAAAACCTACCCATTTTGGTGTGGGCCGTCTACTTTACTAAAGCTATTGATTCAAATGGCTCTTAAGACTGTTGAGACCCAGGGGAATACATTGGTACCTAGTGTTTGTATGAGGTTATATGTGAGGAATCGTAAGGGATGTACCCTACACTGTGTGTTCTCCATGTGAGTTCTTCCTTATGTTTTGTGAATTTGGGAGAGAAGGCAGGAAGGTAGCGTTGGTGTCAAGGACAAGTGAGAGGAGAGGCGAGGGGCATCTATAGCATAGTCTCTGAGAATGGCAAATGCCCAGGCATCGTGCTGGAGAAAATGCTTATTTCATTGTTTGGCAATGGTTCGTTAGTTATCAATGAACCAGAGCAGAAGAGCAGAACGGAAACCACGACACCCACCCCACCGTAATGTGGGTTCCCTCCAAAACCATTTCCCTTCTGTACGTGGATGCAGTGAGCTGGAGAGAGGCTATAAGTTGACTTCAGGAAGCTCTCTCCACACTCTGGAGCCTGAGCTGGCCAAACCCGGGCCTCATGTCTCTGCCTTTGGCCGGATCTCCCTTCGCTTCCAGGGGAGGCTTTGAGGGTCACCTGTATCCGGGGTTGTCTTTCTTCTTCTACGGACTTTATCATGCACAACTCGTGTTCAGGGCCTCGTTATGCAGCTACCCAGTCCAGCACCTGCCGTGCCGTCCCCGGAGCCAAGGAAGATGGGCCAGGCTGCAGCAAATATACTACATTGGGTTGGTGAAGATACTGAGTGCCTGCCTTTTAGTCGCCCAAGAGATGCACAACATTCAGGGACAGTTCGTACTTATTAGCAAGATATATCATCAGAGAAACTTTTTATACCACAAACAGTGGCAGCATCTCACTCTCTACGTGAGCGTCTTCCTGAGTGGGTGTGTAGATGTGGTGAGCCAGAACCTGCTGCCCCAGAGGTGCACTGCTCTGGAGCATGGTGCCCAAGCCCTGGGCACATTCCTGTTTCTGCCTCTGATGGTGTCTCACATGCAGGATTCAGAAGGAGTGGAACTGCAGTGTCACATCCTGCTCACCCAGGCCGTCTTCCTGCTGACACTGGCGATCACCGCAGAGGTGTGGGCTCCCAACATGCCGCAGCTCGGGGTGATGAAGGCCTTTTTTTATATGATTACGGGCTCTTGGCTGATACAGATAGGATTTATACTGCACAGACCAATCTCGGGCTATGAATGGATGGACGATGACAAAAATAACATTATATTTGTCACCACTTTCTTCTGCTGGCATGTGACTTCCATTGCCATTTTGATGATATGGATCTATGGCTTCTTCTTTTTATGGTATCGTTACATTGCTTGATGTCTGAACTTGGATGAGCCCGAAATGGTTCCCGTCACCTGCACATTCTGGAACACCTGGTTGAGAAACTGAGGGAAGTGGAGCCGTCAGAGAAGAGGACCGGGCATCCTTCCTTCAAGGGCCTCACCTGGGGCAGCAGACTCTGCTGGAACAGTCATGCCCCGCCCCCCATTCTGGCTTCTCTCAGTCTCATTTGCTAAGCCGCATGCAGAAGACAGGTGAATGAAACACAGGAGGCTCGAAACTATGTCCTTTGCTCTCAGCTCCCCAAGTATTTCCCCTACCTGCCCTCACTCTCCTCAACTCCAGCCACGGCAATCTGCTCCCCCACCTCCTCTCTGCACTCCTGACTCCCTCCAGGAGAATGCTAAAATAAAGGTATTATATCCTGCCTTTGGGTCTTTATGAAATACCCCTCACCCACCACATAGAATACACCAACTAGTCGCATTTAGTCCATCGCAGTAATTTACATACTTTAATACCTCCTAATAATTTATCTATCGTAATAACCACCTCCTCATCCTTTTTCTTTCTAGATCTCTGTAATGCTCATACTAAACCCAAACTGCAATTTTGAATATATAGAACTCATAAGACTGTTACTCTTTCTTTTGATTATTTTATGATTTATCAAAAGGAAAGTCCGATCCTTTTTTTTTCAGCTTTATTGAAGTATATATTTAATATACAAAATATCGAGCATATTTAACGTACATATTTTGATGAGTTCGGACCTGTGTGATACTGTGACAACATCACCACAATCCTTACAGGCGGTTTCCTCTGCAGGGTCTTGTAGAACAGAATAACCCCCTGCACATTGTGAGGCTCAAAAGGGTTCGTCTGCTTCCAGAATTTTTCTGTCTCCCTGAGTGTAGTCTGTCAGATTCTTCTATTTGGGTAAATCAGCCCATTGCTCTGTGCATACCTCAGTCAATTCCCGGGTAGTAGACTCACCCGAACCCACTCCTTTCCTGTTCGCATGTGTCACAAAATCCAATGGCTTGTTTACTTCACAGACTTTTCTTTTTAATCCTACAACTACCCTCCCAGGTCAGTTTGTAGATGATAATCTGAAACTCAAAAGGGACAAGAAACTGGCTTAACATTTTGCTGTCGCATAATGCTATAGCTGGGTGTCTTGGAATTCTGGAGTAAATTATTGGGGATTTGCAAAAGAATGTCTTTGTTACACATTCTGCTTCTCTCCCTGCTGTTCCCAGGAGATGGGAAATCCATCGAACATCCCTTCCCGGTCATAGCTAAAATATCTAGGCTTAGGACAAAGTGAGGCTGAGGCAGGAATTCTAGGTCATCATCCTAGTTTCCCTTTTGCTTCTAGTTCCTAGGAGAACTAGATGTGTCCTTCTTCTTTTGGTGGTGGCCCTGCTCTTGTTAATTTTCTGGTTCAAAAGTTAAGGTGCAGCAGGGGCGAATTGTTGTCTGGTTGTTAAGGGCCTCTACTCTCTGGTTTGGGGGGCTGATAAGCATTCTGAGTGATTGCGAAGGGAAGAGGTGCTTCCCAGTGTCATTGAGAGGGGGCTGGGCAATGTCTCAGAATTCGAGATGGCATGCATGTGCAGGACATCCAGCGTATGACCAGCAGGCAGCTCCACATGGAAGGCTTACACTTTGAGCCAGTGGGGCCATCAGGTAACAATGCCGCTCTGCCCTGGAGATGAGCAGTGGTCTCTGGGATGGAAATGAGATATTCCTCAGGTCCCCAGCCATCCGCAGAGCTTCCAGGGACTTGCTGCCTGATGGGGCCCCAGGGTTCTCCAGCAGTCATGGCTCCCAGTCGTCTCTTATTGGCCGATACTCTGCCCTTGCCGGGTAGTTCAGGTTCCTCCAGCTCTGCCTTCTGTGGGAATATGCTCACTCGTGTTGGAATTAGGCAGGTTCCTTCTACCTACAAGAGCCCACTCCTGTGACTCAGCCTCCCAGACACTTGCCGGGTTCCAGGTCCCTCGCTACCCGGGGCTGCGCGGCCCTCGCATGCGCAGTACGGACCCTGCCTGTGGGCCTTGGGAAGTTGGGGATGCCAGACCTATGGAGTCCCAGCCCTTAGGCCAGCTTCTCTGCTTCTCCTTGATCTTGGTGACCAACGGAGCTCAGCAATTTCCTTTGTAGGCTCGGCCCTTTTCCTGGTTGTCGCTTCCGGGTCTCATCACCTCGTTTCTCCCCCACAAAGTTGGGAATCTTTCCAGGCTTCGCCCAGCCTCGCAGGAGTGCCTTCCTGTAGCCCGGATGAAACCCCTCTAGTGCCTTGAAGTTGGAGAAGTAGCGAATCTGTTTTTCCTCTACATCTTTTTTTTTTTTTAGTGATATAGCAAAACTCTGTTTTCTACTTCACCCAGGCCTCCTCTTTTTGACTTAAGATCATATTTTGGGGTTTTTAACCTAAACATTGATAGTTTTTTGCTACTACGGTTGGATCTCATCTTGAGGCAATATCTTTCACTAAGTTATATAAAAGGGCAGGAAAACAAAGCAGAAATGTTAATATTTCAAGATATTATCTCTACAAAGGTGAAAGTTGAAGAGATACCAAAGCCACTTATTGACAGATCTGTCCCATTTCTGAGTACTGTTGAGGTCCTGTTAGATACTGATGAACTCATTCTAGTAGTAAATTAGTGCCTCCAAATATTATTATGCCTCGCAGCATGTATCTTTAGGCTAAATTAATAAATATCGTCAGGGGCCTCTAATTAATAAGTATTTCTGAGACCTATTATAATGGTGGAATGGACAGACTTGCTGTTTGGCTGAGAAGGCCCTTCACGTATTCCTACATCACAGTATGTCTTTGCACTCTGATGGTAATCCTGAACTTTGAAATGTAAAACCAAATGAAGATAATTTTGGAGAAAAACAAAAACAAAAAACCCAGATAGTTTTGGAGAGAGGTGTAATCTTCACCGCTATCCACCAGAGGGCACCATCCTCACATGAGCGGGGAAAGGGCACTTGCTCCCCATTTGGTATTTAAACTGTCAATTTAGTAGAAATGAAGGAGGGATGAAGAGGAGGGCAGAAAACTACAGAAGTGTTGTCCACGCATCCAGTATACAATGAAGATTTGTTTGTTTCCTGTTAAACTTAGATGTATGGATATGAATCAACATAGTATTCAATTGATAGACACAGATTATATTTATAGATCTGTGTACATAGACGCGTATAGGTATATAGATACATATATATCTATATATACATCTACACATATACATATATATCTATATGTGTATCTATATCTAAATATAAATATCTATACATATAATAGTTAGATACCTAACGTGTATGTATCTGAAAAACACAACAGTGTCAAAATCCTCCTTGAGCTAAAATGGCTGCTTTTTAGCAACTTTATGAAAGTCATCAAACTGTTCTTTTCAGCTCATCACATAATAAGCATGTAATAAATAGTTAGTGAATGAGTAAATAAAGAACCTAGTACAGGCATAGCACAGTTGAAATGTCGGGTTAATTCTGATCTGATCTGTCTATGGACAGAAAGTTTTCCGCTCTTTTCCTTGAGCTGGTCATGATAGCATATTGAGTAGCCCTGGCTCCATTTATGGTCGAAAAACATTGTATCATCTTGAGAAAAATTAACATGAAAGACAAATATAACTTCTTTCCCACACTGCATCCTGCTTGCTTCTATTTTTTCTGGAGTGACTAGTCTAGATCAATGGAGGACTGATTAGGATTAGAAAAATTGGGGTGAAAACTGGTCACATAAGATCTCCAGTTATTGTGTATGCTATGATTTGATGCAATAGTAAATGGCTTTGTTCCAATCTTCTGGTAAAATTCTTAGATACGTAGGATACCTTTTCTTAAAAAAATAGCTCCTTTCCATATGGGTATTGTTTACTTCTTTTCTAACATCTGCGGGAAAGTCTAATTGAACATATAAGGGTACACACAAGAAGTGGTGGGAGGAATTATACAGAAAAATAGATTGTTGTGAGGGAGTCCGCAGAGTTTAATTTTAAGTCCATTAAAATACATTTTTTTCATGTGAAAAGGAGGTTTGATTTATTGGCATATTTGAAATAGCATTGGCTCTTGAATTAAATAGGCAGAAGCAAATCTCAGTGTTGTACTTACTATCTTTCAATAGAAAGGAGGTGATAATAATCTCTATTTTGCAGGACTGTGACTTGAATGAGAACAAAGAATAAACCACCCAGTCTAATTTCTTCATGGACGGCATTCAGCTCATGTTTATTCTCTCCCTTTTCAAAGCCAGTGGCAAATGAAGTAACCCAGAGGGAACAGCAAACCAGAGGGAACTATGTGGGAAGGAGGAAAAGGGGTGAAAACAAAACTTGGATAGTAGGTTGAATTTTCCAGCTTATCTGAGAGAAAAGTCAAGTTATTAAATATTCACGGGATAGCTGTTAAATTTCCAGGAGGATATTACATCCAAAAGACACATTAGAAATAAATAAAGAGATCCCTGCTTTCCCAAAGTATAAAGTCAAGTTAAATAGACAGAACTTAAACTTAGGATCTATAATTGGACAACAATTTTAAAGAACCCGTCAATACATACAAAGTAGTATGGACTAAAGGCCTAAGTATAGGAAGAGTCTGGTACCTTCAAGGGTATCCATGAGATCAGGTAACATTAAAGACTGATAGAATCTGGAACCCCTTAGAGGAGGTGTCATTGTGTGTTCACAAGGAGCGGGCTTCTGTTGACTGGGGGGATGATTCAGCCCCTAATCAATTACAGTGGCAGGAAGTGGATAGCAACATGAGCACTGCTGGTGAGTCTCTGAGAGGGCGCTCCGAGGCTTTGAGCCTCCCAAATGAGGCGGACCACTCACCTTCCCGGTCACTAAGAAATCTGAGTCATTTAGGGAACCCGTATGTGGCTCTTCTGTTATTCACGCCCTTTACTTTCCTTTTCTCTTCTTCTCCCCACCCTAACCTGCCACCTTAGGCCTCGTTCATAAGACAACTAAGACAACTAAGAGGCAGGAAGTAAAATGCAGATCGGGCCATCACGTGCCATACCTCCTCCGGGTGGAAGGCTAGCACGAGGTTTGGAATTATCCAGTGACTTCTTTTGTTCACCCTTTGGTATTACTGTTGTGTGGAATGAGTGTTGAAAGCCTTCCCAACTTATTAGGAAGTCTGGAGGCAAACATGTGAGAATGGAAAAACAGGAATAAAGAAATAGTAGGATGAAGGGGAGGATCTGAAGAGCCTTGTTCCTATACCCTGTTAAGACTGTCTTGTTAGCGGAACACCCTGTCATAGTTGAGCCCCTTGTCACTAGCAGTATGTGTAGCTATGGAACACAACCAATTGGAAAATTTCTGCCAAACCCTACTTTCCTATACTGAGAAACCCTAAAGCTTGAAGGTCTTCTCTTAAAAGAACAAGCCATTTAACATTTATAGAACTTAGACATTGTACAAACCCTTTTAGTACCTAGGGGAAGAAAGATGGAAAGGACAAGTCCCTCCTCTCATGGAATTCCTTCTGGTGGGGAAGACAGATACATCAGCGGATGAAAACAGTGACTTGTTCATTGTAATGGTGGCAGATGTACCTGACGGTGCAGGGAGTGGGGATCCATTTTACCGTTGTGGTAGATTCTACCATGCTCGGTTCACCACACAGATTATATGTGAACCAGTTCTTGATGGATGACGAGTCATTTGTGAAACACACTAAGGTTGAGAAGACATTTCAGGCCATGGGAACACAAGAACAGAGACGTGGAGGTTGGAATGAGAGTACATAGCATGTGTAAGAAAGAGCAATGTCTTGGCTTGTCGACAGGAGGTAGAATGCTGCGGGATGGTGGGAGATGAGGCTGGGAGGAATGCAAAAGCCAGATCTGGTGAAGTCTCAGATACTGTACTAAGGAGTTTGGACTTGACCTTGTTAGGGCATTGAGGAGTCTTTGAGAGTTTTAACAAAAATAGCATCAAAAGGTTATGGTGGCAGTAGGGACTGTCCTTGGAAAGGAGAGAGACTGGAGGCCATTTTAAGAAACTGATACAGTAATCTAGGTGAGAGATGCTAGAGATCTGAAATAAGGGAGTGACTTTGTGGATGGAGAGGAGAGGACAGATTTCAGAGATATGTCGAAAGGGAAATCACAGAATATGGTCCTCTGTTGCACATGGAGTATTTGGAGGGGAGGGGGAGAGAGAGAGAGAGAGAGAGAGAGAGAGAAACAGAGAGGAACAGAGAGCAAGAGAGGAATCAGAGATGATTTTCAGATTTCCGGTTTAGATAATCGGATGAGTCGTGGCTCTAGTAACTGAGGTTGGGAATACAGGAAAAGGAGCAGGTTGGAAAGAAAAAAAGTTCAGATCAACTTTGAAAATATTGAGATGAAAGTGCTGGTGGACGGATGTCCGTGTAGAGATGTGTCATGGCTCCTGGGATATTTAGAACTTGAGCCAAGGAAAGAAGTCTGGACCAAAAACATAGATTTTAGAATCATCCATGTGGCATAGATTAAATAACTCAGGGGATGTTTATAAAGAGAAGAGTAGAGAGCTGAGGAGGGAGACAAGAAAAAAACAGAAAAAATTATAACACTAGATGGCAAAAAAGCAAAAGAACTGACATCAGCTCTGCTACTGTAGTGTTCGATTGTCTAGGTTTCTATTTCTATTTCTATTTCTATTACACAAAAACAGTAACCACCAAGTATCATCAGGAAAAGTGATGGAGGATTGTTTAGTTATATTATCATAACTATGCTCTAGTGATTGTGAGTGGCATTTACTATTCACATCAGACATTTGACTAGACTGAGGGATGAGACTAGTGTACGGTATTTAGGTTGCTCATTTTACAAGTCTTTCATTACAAATTTGGGTTTGATGGGAAAATGCTGGGTTATTGATAGAACAATTAGCTTGTTGTTCACTGGTTGAACATTGTGCTCTAAGGGCATAGACAGTGAACTAGCGTTAACTTAGAGGAGCCCCCTGCTCCACCTGTGGTCTCCATGCCTGGCTTTGTGACATTCAACATATATCTGTTCGGATTAACTTGGGTGGCGCAAGGATGGAGCTTGAGGAGAATAAAAAAATACTTTGTGTGGCCAAATCAATATTCGGAACAGCTGTTGTTAGTTAGGCTTTAATATTGGTCCAAACCAACAAGTTGTGATTTGACTGGAGTTCCCACCCTGGGTTTCTGAAAAGTGACAGCATAAAATAAATAAAGTCTGATGGAGTTGACAGTGTAATGAGACAGTGTGCCACACTAATACGATGCACAGGCAATGGTTTTCTGAGTTGTCCCCTGGGAAGCATGCAGAGCGCCTGGGTTGTGGGTGCCACTCCAGCCAACAGGGGAGGAGCCAGAGGTCAAGGAGGCCATGCTGGGAATGGTTGAAGCATCCCTTAGTGACTAGCCAGAGGGAGAGCGGCTGGAGGTAAGCAGAAGGTTGTGCTGTCCTTATAAATAAGGGAGTATTTTCTCACTGGAGAAACTTGGGTGAATTCTGTCAAGCTTCAGAGGGCAGGATTTCTATAAATGGAAGGAAGATAAAGGAAGGCAGTCCATGGCAGGAAAAATCTTTCTAAACATTTTATCTCTTTATAAATGGAACGGACAGCTCTATGAGGCAGTGAGCCCCCCACAGTTGGGGATGTTTAAGCAGAGTGATATTGCAGAGGGGGAGAAATTGAGATAAGTGACCGTAAAGGCCATTGTCATGCTAAGATTGGGCCCTGTGAAATGACTCGTTCAGCGGCTTCGTTTTCTCATCCTGAGGGCAATCCAGGTTCATGACGGGATTGGTTTTTTTTTTTTCCTCTCCCCATACAGAGATAATTGGTTCTACAAATCTCATAATTCTGCTAGAGGATGAAATCTTTGCTGATTTTTTCAACACATTTCTTTCTCTCCCGGTAAGCATTCTCAGACTTAAATTTACATGTTTCATCAACAGCTGAATAATGAATCTCGCTGAGCTGAGTGCCGTATTTTTTTTAAATAAACTTCTTACCAAATCAAAACTATTTCAATTTGAGCAGATAAATAGGAATCTGAATCTCCTCTAAAACCTCCAGGAACTTCCTGGATATAACAAACCCCAAATCTCCAGCCTCCTAAGTAGCCTTTGCCTGCACATAGCACCCTTCACTGGTCCCCAGCGCAGTGCCCTGGCAAGTACACCTGGCTTTCTCCCCGCTCTGCACCTCTCCTTGGCTCTGTTCCTGGTTTCCATAGTTCCATCTACCAAAAGTCTCAACCATTTTTCAAATCTGTCCCTAAGGAATTCCTAGGTCCTCCTAATCAAACGTATTCCTCCCTCGCTCTGCGTCCCTGGGCACTTTGCTGTTCTCTTGTGTTTTACACGTGGGTCTCCCTCACTGGGTGGTGAGGCTGTGGGGTCCTGCGGGACAAGGACTATGGGTTATTCACTGTGCATGCTTCCCCTCGCCAGGTGTTTAGCGTGAAACGATTAGTGAGTAATTCACTGGAATCAACCGTATATATTTTCTCAATCTTTGCTGTTAAAATGAACCAAAAAACATCAAAATATTCTTAAACCCAAACCTAGACTGACCTCGCATCTTTCTGGATTAAATCCTTCGTTACATCTTAACACTGGTGCCTTATAAATTGTGGCTCATTTCACTGCACCCTTTCCCATGGAATGCCACCTGTTAAAAGTTGCAATTTCCTATAACTGAGGGAAAAAAAAAAACCACTGTATTATCCCACAAACACTTACTGGGTAGTCACTTTGTGCCAGCCCCCAGGCATAGCACTGGAACACAAATATTAATGATAGCACCCCTGTCCTCAAGGAAATCCCAGTCAAATATGAGAGACTGATATTTAAGGTGAGTGCAGAAAGGTTCGTGAGTGACATGATAGAAGTCTCTAGAAGGCAATGGAGTACACGTGCATTGGAGGGAGAGGCCACTCCTACCTGGAAGAGGCAGGAAAGGCCACAGTGAAGAGGTGACACAAGGCAAGGGTTGAAAGCAGACGAAGTATTTGAGGGAACATGGCGGTTAAGAAGGAGGAGGAGAAGGCAGAGGTCGGGTAGCAAGAGGGGCAAAGGCATTGCAGACAGAACAGAGTCCAGGCAGCAGGGAATGCAACGCATGGCGCTTTGCGGGGAACTACAGAACTCAGTGAGGCTGAAGATAAAATTGCGGGAGTCAGACACTGTCTGTCGTGGGACCGGGAGGAAAGGCTTCACGGGTGGCTGAGCCAGGCCTCTGAGAGCAGGCGGGCTGTGCTCAGGGGTTTGGACATCATCCGGAAGGCGGCAGCCATTGAAGCGCAGCAGGGAATGCAACGCATGGCGCTTTGCGGGGAACTACAGAACTCAGTGAGGCTGAAGATAAAATTGCGGGAGTCAGACACTGTCTGTCGTGGGACCGGGAGGAAAGGCTTCACGGGTGGCTGAGCCAGGCCTCTGAGAGCAGGCGGGCTGTGCTCAGGGGTTTGGACATCATCCGGAAGGCGGCAGCCGTTATTGAAGTGTTTTAAGTAATGGGTCAGACTTTCATTTGAGAAAATTATTTCTACGGAAGGCTGGCAGTCGGTGGGACTGTCCAGGGACCACGGTGGGGGCAGGGAGACCCTGTACGAAATTGTCTCAATAGTCCAGGTGGGAGGTGAGAGGGATCTAAAGGCAAAAGGATGAAGAGGATGGGACAAATAGGAGAGATTTTTTTTTTTTATGAAGCAAAATACAGAGCCCTTGTCACTGTTTGAATGCTGAGGACAGGTGGTAATGAGAAAGGAGGGGTGAGGGTAAGGCTTGGGTGCCTGGCCAGATGGTGGCGCCAGCAACATGGTAAAAATAAATAAATAAAGAAAGAAAGAAAGAGGAAGAGGAAGAGGAAGAGGAAGAGGCCTCTAAGAGCAGGTCTTTTGGGTGGTCCTGTCTCATGCTATTGCCTCTGCCATCATCTAATGAAAGGTTTCAGAAGTAATCTTAAAACATCCACCAACACAATGTAAGCAGTCCATTCTAGAAATGGAGAGAGAGAAATGCGAAGTAGCATCCCAGCCAAGAACATTTGCAAGTCCTGGCTCTGTCGGTGGCCTTGGTCTAGTCAGAGTGGCAGCGGTGTTTCACGTTCAACACCGCGGTCAGTTTACACAGCGCTGCCCCTTGCCCTGTGAAGCTGCATCATTTGCTTCTGACAGACGGGCCTCAGAAGTTAAGTGACTTCCCTGAGACCACATGGTGCAGTTCTGGGAGCTGACCAGGTCTTACGGCTCCAGACCTCAGCCTTGTGCCCTCTCTGGTACAAATGTCACATGATAAAACTGGTTCCATACACTACTCCCACATGACCTCATAACTTCCCAGTCCTACCCACATCCTGTCAAGGTCACGCCACGCTCCTCATGTCTCGTCACACACTGGGTGCAGGGCAGAGAGGCGCCACTGAGGACTGAATCTCCTTTAGAGAGTGGCATCTGCAAAATGCGGGCGGCACCATCACCTTCCTTTGACACCTCACAGCCAAGGACAAAGGGGAGAGAACGAAAGGGCCACAGACTGACAAAGGTATGGGACCGCTCATCCTGGGGAGATGGTCGGACTGACATGAATTGGGGTTTCGGGCTCTCTAGTTTTTCGTAAACACTTTGGGGACACTTTGAGACATTTCGGTGCCTATGGTGAGACTGCTAAGCTCAGACACACGTAAATGCAGAAGTCCTGTTCCATCAGTCTCAGAGGAGATCGCCCAGGTCACAGCCCCTGCTCCATGACAAAGGGGAAGACTAGCCTAGAATTATCTATCCATTTTGGACACTTAATGCCCCCCTAAGTAAGTTGTACCCTTAATCTTCGTGTCTTCAGTCCTCTCTACTTCCGGCTGAGGAGTTTAGGCAAATCCAAAGCCGTTTCTCTTTATAGAAGGGTTTTAGGCCTTTACGTTAGCTCGCTAAGTCCACGGAGAAATGACTAACACAGTACACAGACACCTTTTAATACCATGGACTCTGGCCTTTGCACGTGGGCAAGATAACTCCAGGGCAGGGCAGAACGGAGCTAGAAGATAAACAAACCTTGCCATTTTGTCTATTTGGGGTGTTTTTGTACAAGGCAAGTTGATTCAGTGGAATAGATTTAAGAATGAATGTCCCTTGAAATGGGAAAGCTGTGGATGGCACCTCTCTTCCCGTGTGCCCGCGATGGGCCGTCACGCGGTGGTGAAGGGAAGTTCTACCCCTGTCGCTGTTTCCTAGCTTTCTTTTGCAGGTTTTTGGTCAGACACCGTTTTACACAGTTGACAATGCACAGTGGAGCCTGTGGCCAGAAATACCTCATGATTTGGTGAGTAAGATTCCGGAATGGCAGAGGGTTTGGGGTGGGGGAAGAGGGAGCCGGATTTGAAGTATGATTGGGAGAGGGTGAGGGAGAAGGAGAAGAGGCCCAGCGCGTGACTATGGAAGGAACTAGAAAGCAGACGAGTAGTAGAAACAGCATCTAGCCAGGCAGAGAGTTCCCCGTTTGGGATTTTTACCACTTGGGCCAGCAATGTTGGTGAGCTCTGGTTAGCAGATGGGATTCATCTCTCATGCCCTCTGTGACTGTTGGGCAGGGGATGCTTGGAGCGCAGGTTGAGAAGCCCCTGAGGCCACACCTAAGCCAGAAAAGAGTCTGGAAATTGATTGGCGGCACCCGCCATGGGTGTGGCCTGGGCAGTGGCAGCCCTGGCCACGCAGTGATCATTCACATTGTAAGGCGTAGCTCATGGTAAGATGACTTCCTGTGCTTCTTTGTGACTGCCTGACCGTTCTCCTCCAGAGACTGTCTTTCTCTTCACATCTTTTTTCTTGTCCACGTCCATTGTTCATTGTCCACGTCTATTGTCTCTTCTCCTTCTCTCCCTCCCCGTTCTCATTTTCCACTGTGTAGACCTTAGACTTACTAATGGCTTCCGCATGCCCTACCAGCACCATGCGGAGTCAGAAGGATCACTGTAAGCCCTGCTCACAGTGAGGTTTCCTTTTTCTCTGGGGTCTGGAAAGCCGAGAAAGACATTCCACTCTGGTTCTTATATTTGGTTTCCCTAGGAGAACTCCGAAACTTAAAAGTTTTATTTTTCGCCTCCCTTCTCGGGTGACTCTGTCTCTCAGGGGTCCATCCCGTACTCTAAAGGAGGTTGTGTGTGGGTCTCTGTGTGTTTTTGCACATGTTGTATAGCTGATATGGGCTGGGAGCCTATGAAAAATGATAAGTGTGCTCACAAAGAAGCAAGTCGAATAGAGTTATGACCCGACGCCAGACCAAAATTCATTCTGCTTCTCTTCTATGAAGCAAACCTTAGATCTTTACTTAAACAACTTCACCCAGAAATAAGGAAGATTTTTGGACAGAAGATCGACCTTTTTCTTTCCTACCCATCTATTCACTCCTTTGGGGGCCTCAGCCCAAGTCTCTATTCCGCTTAGATACTGTTTTTAATCAACGTGCCTCTCCTCTGGGCCAGATACTGCAAGTGTGAGGTTATTTATTGCCTCTTGCTAAGTTGAATTTCTTAGCGTTCGGTTCAATTTCACGTTTCTTTTCCTATTTTGTTTGGACTCTAGACTGCAAAGTACAAAGGATTACTGACCTGGTTGGAAAAATATCGGTTACCTTTCTTCTGTAAAACCAACTTGTGTCTCCATTACATTCTCTATCAGGAGCTCATCAGTTTCGTTAATTCCCCAGAAGGAGGTAAGCATGGGGATGAACGTGTGGAGAAATACGGGAAGCCGGGCTCTATAGCGATCCTGTGCCTGTCAGTCCCACACGAAGGTACAAATACTAGCTGCCTTTGTAGCATTAAGATATGCAGGTGGCTCAGCCTGTGTTGTGGCAATAGGTGAAATCTTAGGCTGAAAAATTCATACCTAGAGCAATAAGCAGGAGTCAGATGGGCTGGGCTATTCGTCTCACCACCGCCAGAAGTGAGAGAGCTAACGGTGGCCACAGGACATGACAAAATTACCTTCAGAATCAAACACATCCCTCCACCTTCATTGCTACCTTCCTGGTCTAAGCCACCATTTCTCACCTGGCGACTGAAATCACCTCTTAATTAAACTCCTTACTTCTGCTCTTGTTCTGCTGCTCATAGCAGCCAGAATGAGCCACCATTTTCCCACACTCCCACTGAGCGAATGGGGCTCTGACCACACTCGAGGCTGAGGGAGGGGCCAGGGCTGGAGCTCGCCGTCTCTGTCTTATCACGGACTTCTCCTGGCAGCCAAGATGATGAGATGGAAAAAGGCAGACCAGTGGCTACTCCAGAAGTGCATTGGCGGGGTCAGAGGGATGTGGCGCTTCTGCACCTACCTCAAGGGCAGCTCAGGTGGGTTCTTAGAGTTGTTCCTGGTGCCTCTGCAGGTTCTACGCTTCCAGAATGCTCCAGAGCACTTTCTGACAGTGTGCTTGTGGTAAATATAAAAAATGTCCTGTAATGCAGTTTGGATAAAGTCTTCGAAAACTGGGATCCATAGTATAAGTCAGGGCAGGAGCAGTCAGTGTCCCTTTCTTTCATTCATTCGCGCAACAATGTTTATTGAGCACCACTCTGTGGTGGTTACCGTGCTGGTGGGTGGGAACACAGAGGTGAGCAAGAGTGATAAGTGCCCACCTCATAAAGCTGCCGCGATGGTGGGGAGACAGACAAGGAACCAGTAAATAAGTAAGTCCCTGTAGCCATAGAGTTGAGATGCACTGCTTTCTGTTCTGCTGGGTCCAGTCATTGATGAGCACTGGGAGGCCAGCAGTGGCACTGGCTGTCACTCCAGTTCAGGAACATTAAGTTTTATCCAGCGACCAGCCCTAGTTTAAGGGTGAAATCCTGGATCCCCAGGGAGCAGGTAGGGAAGAGCTAGATAGACTATCTTCCAGTTTGTCACCAAGACATCACCCCGCCAAAGATGTGAATGTAGTAGTCTTTGACACCTTTTGGCTCCAGTGTCTTCCTACAGGCTCCTCCAGGTCCATGATGTAGGAAAAAAATTTTTTTTTTCTCTGATCTTTAATTTTTGGACAAAACTCAGATGTCTCGCGATCCATCCTGAGTCTTAAAGTTGTCCCTAAAGTGATAGTTTTTCTAACAACAAAAATGTCACAAAAAAAATTCCTATCCTTTAAGTCCCTTCTCCCCATGCCTCCCAGCCACCCCCACATTAGCATATTTCATGGAGATGATGCCTTAGCCCAGAAGAGTGACTAATGGTGATGTTTGAGACAGTAGAGTAGGCTGGTAAGGTGGAGGCGTCAGCTGCTACGCCCAGATGCAGCCACTGAAGGGGCGAGATTGGGGCGCAGCTCTGTGCCTCCCCTGTCTGATCCGCAGGTGAAGAGCTGCTGGATTTCTGGATCCTCACTGAGGAGATCCTGAGCATAGATGAGATGAATCTGGAATTAAGGGACCACTACCTGTCCCTCCTCCTTGTGCTGAAGGCCACGCATCTCCAGGAGGGGTCCCGGGTGGTCGCTCTCTGCAACATGAACATCAGTAAGAACCTGGAATGAAATCCCCGGGAAATATCACCAAAAAGATCAGCCCGGAGTCTGATAGCCCTCAGTCTCTTGCCTTGCACACTGCCACCCTTCCCATCTTCTGTGTATCGGGGATGCCAGTGGGAGCCCCAACTCCTAACAGGAAGGGGATGAGAGAGACCAGTTGTCCCTAGGCTGGTGTGTGCCTCTTCCTGAGCTTTGACTTGCCAGTGACAGTTGGCTGGAGGGAGTAAAGAGGAATTGAGACAGGGTAATTCAACAGCTCTCCATCTTCTGAGCCCACAGGGCTTGTCTTTTGGGGATTCCCTAGAACAAACCACAGTCTGCAGACCAAATGAAGTACATACACGTGGCTTATGAGCTGGAATTTTAAAAAAGGTTTTAAAGGGTTAACAAAGAAAACTGCAACAGAGACAATCTGTGGCTAATGAAGCCTAAAATATCGACTAGCTCTCCCTTTTCAGAAAAGACCTGCCAACCTCTTCTCTAGAACATCAGATTCATCCAATTTATGTATGTATGTATTAAGCGAGGAGGCATTGCTAACCCAAACACAAATGGGTTCTGGAAGATGTGCTTTTTTCTTTGGTATTAGTCACACTCTTCTCTCTTCATAGAAATAACTTGAGAATTGATGACATTAAATCGAGACTGGTAAGGACTCCCTTAAATTATCCAGTCCACCCCCCTTTCTCTCATCAGATATGACCCTGAGAAATTCCATTCAGAGGTACATGTCTCTCGTTCTTAAACATATTTTCTTGTGCCTTTTGCTTTTCTTTGCAATAACATTTAATAGTCCTCTATAAAAGGACTTATTTCTATGGGGAAGAAGGAAGGTAATCAGAGAAAGGGTTGCTCTGTGCTGAGCAAACCCTAAAAATGTGTCCACTGTATATTTGACCTGTTCACACCACCCCGCACCCTCCACCCCGGATTGTATGAGGGATGAATGAAATGCTATACACAAAAACATATGGAAAAAATTTTAAAAATCTCACTATCCCCACAGCATCTTTATCTTCATCTCTCTATGTTTTTTCCAGAGGCCCTCCTGAACCTTTCCATCTGGCATCCCAACCAGTCAACCACCAGGAGGGAGATCCTGAGCCACATGCAAAAAATGGCTTTGTTCAAACTCCAGAGCTATTGGCTCCCCAACTTCTACACCCACGCCAAGACCATCATCGCTAAGGAGGAGTCATGCCAGGGTCTGATGCAGGAATATGATACCCGCATATGCAGTATTTGCTATACTCACGGAGGAGGGCTCCCTCTAAGCATGAGCATCAAGAAGTGCTACCACCCCCTGAAGCGGTACTCAAGCAGGAAGACCAAAAGGAAGATGTGGCAGTTGATAGATCATGCCTCTTGGTCTCTAGAATTGGACACCAAGACAGACACCAACACTACTCTCCCCCAGGAGGTATGTCCTCAGGAGAAGGTTATACAGATGCCCTCTCTGAATGAGGCCTCTTCAAAGGAGAGAATAATCAGTTCCCCAGAAAAGGATATTCTCTGTGACAGGAAGTCCAACGTGAAGAAGGCCAAGAGCCACCTCCACATAGAAGACATCTTTGAGACAAAGTTCTCTACCCACCTGAGGACGGCCACCCCCTTCATCAGTCACTTCTCCCAGATGACAATGAAGAAGGCTGCCAGGCAAAGCCTCTCCATGGACTACACCCACTGGGCCTTGTGTGCTGACACCTGTGCAGGGCACCCCTTCAGGGACTACCTGAAGAGGCTGAACTTGAAGGTGGAGGTCCAACTCCTGGACCTCTGGCAGGACCTGCACCATTTCCTCAGTGTCCTGATGAATAACAAGAAGACTGGAAATGCCGTCATTCAGCACATGCTGGGCACCCGGATCTGTGAGCTCTACCTGAATGAGCAGATTGGTCCACGCCTACCGCTCAGACCCCAAACCACCGAAGGTCTGAAGGAGCTGCTGCCTTTTGGGGATATGAGCCCCTGGATTCCCAGAGCCCAGAAGGAGATCTGCCAGGTAGGCCATGCCTCACAAAAATGGGTTAGTGTCTGGAAGGTTAGGTCAGGACTGACCCCAAATCCTATCTGGTCATCTGTACTGAGCTAATGATATAATTATTCACATAACCCTTCACATATTGAAGAATTGGTTAATCTTTTAGAAGCAAACTCTACAAATTGCCAAGAACCAGCTGAAACTGACCCCAAATCCTATCTGGTCATCCGTATTGAACTAATGATATAATTATTCACACAACTCTTCACATATTGAAGAGTTGGTTAATCTTTTAGAAGCAAACTCTACAAAATGCCAAGAACCAGCTGAAACTCCAAAGTAGAATTCTCCTTTATGTGGATTCTCCCAAAACCTTGAACCTCAGAGCGTTCTATTGAGGGAAGTTTCGATAAGTGTGTTCTAGACATTATGTATGGAAATGCAGTAGCTTCCTTTCCATGACCAGACATCGAGGAAATGGTCAATTAGAAGGGTTTCTTCTCATCCCAAGATAATCACGAGACTATCTTGAAGACTCACTGGAAGTAAGGCCCATAGTTTATCTAGTGTATCATCAAGATCTTGGCAGAAAACAAATAGCATTGTCAAGCTGGGTAACAGATGAAAGCCCAATAAAAAGGACTGCTTTCAAGGGAGGGGGCATGTGGGCAGAGAAACCACAGAGGATACTACCCCTGGGTCTCTAAGGGGCCCTGGGGTGTTATCATCCTAGATCAAAATTGTTGAGGAGAAGGGGTAGTTACCAGAACCGGGAGAGAAAGAGCGATATGGAATGGAGCACTTGGCAGGAGCTACAATTATCTGTGATCTGGCTGGGAGGGGTCAGGAGGGATAGGTACCCCAAGCTCATTTTGCTCCTGCTTTCCCATCTGTCAAGATTCTTGACCGAATAACTCCTCCCAGAGGTCAAGGGAGCCTGCAGATGTGGTCCACACACATTAATTTCCCAAGGCACAAGAAGGGTGAACGTGAGTAGAGAGGAGATCTTGAAGGGCAAGTGGATATAAACAGCAAATATTTTAGTGCATTATAATGTATTTACCTCATAATGCACATTCATGCAAATTATCTCCTTGAGGCTTCTTAGCACCTCTGAGAGGCAGACAGGGTAGTGTATAGTTGAGAAAACTGAGACTCGGGGAGAGTAAGCGGATTAGCTCAAAGGCACACAGCAGGCTAGGGCAAGAACCAGGGTCAGAACCCAGGATTTCTTGGCTCTAAGTCCAACATAATTTCCAATACACCATAACTATCCAGGGTTGGACATCTGGATAGTGTGGGACCAGATCATTCCAGTGGAGCCAGAGCCAAAGCTCTCCTTTGCACAATACTTGAATAATAAGAGCACAGAGGCCCCCTGCCCTTGGGGGAGACATTTGAGGTGAGAGGCTGAGACTGAGGCTGTGCTTCCTGGAGGAGCAGATCCGCACAGCAAACCCCTCTGCCTGGTATTCAGCAAGGTGTAGAAGATATTTGTATAGAGATAAGTCTGGCTTATTATAGTTTTTCAGATATAAAATCTTGATATCATCATGACTTGCCTCTGTCTCACACTCATGTCTAGTCTATTGGCGAATCCTGTTGGTTCAGCCTTAAAAATATATCCAGAATCCTCCCCTCCCGTTACAACCACTCTGGTCCAAACCCCATCTAATGTCACCCGGGTTGGTACCGTGGCCTCCTAGCTGATGCCCCTGGGTCTGCCCTTGGCCCTCACTAGGCTTATTTCCACATCGGCCACAGGGACTCTGCCAAAACATAAATTGGGTAATTTAATTGAAAATAAGAAAAGGAAGCAGTGAGAACCTTGAAAACAGATGGCTTTCTGTCTCCAGTAAAATCCAAAGTCCATGCTAAACTGACAAAGCCTACGCAGTCTGTTCTCCACCTCCCCAGTCTGGCTTCATCTTCAGGATTTCCTGAACTCAACACAGCAATAATTGTCCCCTCCTCTCTGCTCCCAGAGAACCTGGCTCACACCTCTAAGGTAGCATGTGTCGTACTGCCATTCATCATGCCAGAAGGTGCGCTCCTTGATAACCAGGCTTGTCACATATTGATCTGTATATTCCCAGCTATGAGCACAGTGTCTGGCATGTGGGAGGCACTCAGAAAATATTTGCCAGAAAATTAATAAATGAATAAATGTGAGAGTACAGCTATATAAGCCTAGCCAAGCACTAACTCATAGGTTTCTGTTGTTGTTACTGTTTATTTGTTTTTTTAATGTAATGAAATATTCTTCACAAGTAGGTAAGGTCTTCAAGCGGGAGATATGAAGAGTAGACACACCAAAGGAGATGGTTGGTTTTCAGGACCAGTTTGAGAATCAAGTGAGATAGTACTTTGGAAAGGAACGAAGAAATACGAGATGTCAAATAATTGTCCTTCAGTAAACTGTTATATCTCTTCTTAAGTAAATATCAATTATTATTCTGTGAGATTCAGAGAGAGTCTACTTGAGGTGCCATATTCAGAAAGGCAAAGGAACACCCCCGAGCTGGTCATGACTAATGTTTGCTGTGCCATTGTGTCTCCAAAGTAAAGAATCCAGAATCTACAGCCTCCTTTTCTCCCACTAGCCAGAGAGACGCAGTAGGCCGAGCGGCACCTCCTAACGCTTACGTCGTGTTTGCCTTTCAGATGCTCAGCCCTTGGTATGATGAGTTTCTGGATGAAGAGGACCACTGGTTTCTCATTTTTTCAGTAGGCAGGGCTTTGGGAAGAAAAGAGACTTAAATGCTCTTTGAGGTTGAGGGCAGAAAAGAGACTTAAATGCTCTTTTCGGAACCTTATTTGTTAAAGTAAATGAACTTCTGATTTTTTTTTCCCCTAGAGGCAACTGAGGGGTTGACATCCCGTTGTTCTAAACATAAACCTCTCAAGGAAAAAGACTCAAGTTCATAAGCTGACTTTAAAGAAGTCACATTTATACAGAATTCCTCCCTTATGGAAAATGGGTTTGATTTCGAAGAGGGAGGGGGGGATGGTGTGTCAAGGAGCAATTGGTTCTTAACAAACTGAAAATGTTGGGGGGTAAGTCTGTGTGGTGGGGGAGGACGTTACGAAAACCTTGCTTCTGGTCCAGTTCCTGTAGCAAATGTCGTCTGCCCCCTTTCCCACTTCTCTTAGACTCAGACCAAGTTCATCAACACCAGGTGGCATAAAAGAGACTCTATAAGCAAAAAAGAGAATTATCTCCTTTATAAGAGGTTTGAGGAATCCCTGGCACTAAGCCAGGGTTTGGCTAATATGGAAGAAATGGATTCGATGCAGTGGCAAAAGATAGCTACCGAGGACCTAAGACAAGGCGGGTCTCTCCGAGTGGAACTGAAATCTCCGGTGTTTCTGACAGGTAAGGGCGGTCACCATACCCTCACATGCAGGCAACTGGGAAATATTACTATTTAACATTTAGTGATTATTTATGGTGTGTCAGCAGTGTGCAGTGCAAAGATTACCTCATATGATCTTCGAAATAACCTATGAGGTAAGTACTGAGTAACTGAGGTAGAGAGGACAAGTGACATTCTCAAGGTCGCACAGTAGGTGGCAGAGCCAGGATCGAGTCCAGTCGGGCTGACAGCAGAGATGCCTCCTGGCTGTGAAGGGGGCCAGAGCACTCCAGTGTGGCCTGACTCATGCCCACCAGGGCATCAGTCACCACAGTGGGATTGAGCACTGCATTCTGTGCATCTGATAAGCAAGTTATGCCTCTCCATGCTTCCCCCACAACTGGGTCCAAAGTATTTCCGTGAATGTATTTTTAACGGCTAGATCCTTGAGATGCATCAGCCCAGCCAGGCAGTGGAAGGGGCACAAAGCTCTGCTGCCCCAAAGGTCTGGGGTCGTATCCTGGCTCTGCAAGTGATTGTGTAAACTTGAGCAATTTAACCTCTCTTTAAGTCCCGGTTCTCTCACCTGTAAATTGGGAATAATAACAGGCTTGTGACGATGACCTGAGATCATCTATGAAAGACACTAGCACAATGTTTGGCAGTTGTACAAATCCAACAAATGTCAGTCATTATTATTCCAAGTGAATAAGCTGCTTTAATGATCTATGCTGAGGCAGTCAGAGTAATGCAGTATTTCTCAAACTTTAACACACAATAAATATATTTGACTTCAGGGAACATATACCTACCTGTATATGTGTGTGTGCATCTAAATGGAAAAATATTTTCACAAAGCAATACTTGCCCTTATTACATAAGATGATGTACTTCAAGATTCTCTATTCTGTTCTTTGTGTTATAAATGCTGGCAATGATTCGGTTTATTTTTTTGACATTCTATTGAGTCATGACCTACACTTTGAAAAACATGGGTGGAGTAGGAGTTAAGCAAAAGCTTTGAAATTTCAGTGTCACGGCTGCCTCGCTCTGTGATCCTGGGCAAGTTACCCCACCTCTCTGAGCCTCGTTTCCTCCTCTGTAGGGTCTGGTTAATGGCCCCTGCTTTGCAGGGCTGTTGAGGGGATTGGTGGCACTTACACAGCAAGCCAGGTGCTCAGTAAGTAGTACTCGATAGGTTACACTAAAGAAAGGCAACGCTCAACTCTCTTAAAATTTCAATGTACGCTCCATACACAGAGCAAGATGACTTGGATGCTTGCCCCTCGGAGCCATGCTTAGACATGAGTTATTTAAATCTGTCATGAACTGGCCCTCTGTTTTACCTCAGGGATTTGCCTTCTCTCTAAGTCCTGAACATTCTGGAACCTCTCCCAGAAATCAAGAGCAAAGTGGAAGAAAGGGTAGCTGGTAAATTTCGCCACACTCATACTGGGCAACAGGCATTCCTTTAGTGGCCCTGGAGTGTCAAGGTTGCCAGGAAGAGCAGGAACCCCTTCCATGGAGACGCCCCCTCTCTCCGCCAACACACATCCTTACTTCCTCCACCACTGCCTTTTGGGAACACAAGTTGGACCAAATGAAGGGCCACCTGTACGTTAGCCCAACCCGAGGCCCCGACTGCCAGGTAGGCTGATATTTCCACTCAGGCTGTACCATAAATTCACAGCACCAGAACTAGAATCTCTCAGCTTTCCTATGGAAAAAAATTGGTCCCAGAGAGGAGAAAAGACTTGCCTGAGGTTGCTCGGCAAGGGAGGACTAGAAACCTAGATCCGCTGCAGAAATAATCCACGGCTCTTACTACTCACAGCCAGATACCCCTGGCTGAGGAAATGATGACGACCATGCTGACATGAGGACAGCTGACGTTTGTCGGGCCACACCCTGGTCTTCCTTCTGGACCCCACCAGTATAACGTCAGCAAGCACTGGCCTGCCCTGGAGAGTTCCCGGACAGCAGTGTGTGACTAGTTTTAATCTAAACTCCAGAATTCAAAACATAAATGAATGTTTTCACCTTGATCGGAGGCAAAGGACTGCTCATCTGCTTTTACATCCCAGTACGTGCGTAAAACCTCTCTTGCTGTCTCAGTCATACTGTCCTACCTCATTTTAGATGCGAAAAATACTATTCCTTTTCAATTCATCGTGTATGACTGGAAACAATGTATGGCTATTTCTAGAAAAAAACAAGTCTCTCTCAAAGGACAACTGTTTATCATATTCAGATATGTGAGCTGACAATTCTGAATGAATTCCGAAGACAAAGACAAGAAGAAGAGAAAGGTCCTACCTAGCATGTTATTGGTTACATATGATCCCTAAGTGCATCAGACTCTTTGAAGCAATAGCAGAATGCTTGAAATGCATTTGCAGCTCTTCCCTACAACAGATGGCTGCTTCAAAGGGGTCAACATTAATTTGGATTAATTACTTCATGTAAATGTGTTAATAATTAATGACTTTTTCAAAGTCATATTTCAGTTATCCTAGTATCCCTCAGGCAGAAAATCTCCATGGGTCAGGTGTCCCCAAGAAGGGCAGAATCTTCCCACTGGGGTGGGGAGAGGCTGTATTTCCTTGCTTCTACTTTGGCCTAGGGAATTTGTATTCCCTGTGAACTTAAATAGCATTTTAAAGGCAATACCTTCAACAAAAGTATATGAATCTTTGAACCTAGAGTGGACAACTAGTCTCCACCTCTGTTTTTTCCTACTTAATAGACATAGAAAAAATGACCTTTGAGGAACTCTGCTGTAAGTATCCGAAGGTGGCCATCGAGAAGATCAGCAATGACTACAAAATATATTGTGAAAAAGCACCTAAGATAGGTAAGTGTTGAAACTCACAGGTAGATTTGAGACAACCAGGTAAGAGAGAATCTTCAAACTCAATGGACTATAAGCCAAAAGAGGAACCGTGCTTTGTTTGAAATGAAGGATGCTCAGACCATGTCTGTTTTTTTTCCTCCTGCAAAACCATACATAGAACGTCATGAAAATGAGATTCAATTGTAAATGAATGAGGAAGATGATGAAAATTAATTCCTACCTTCTTTCTTAGTTGTTACTCCAGTGTTTTAAATAATGCACATTTGTCTTCTTTGAAGTTTCCTGGAGTCAGAGATTTATGGGAGGAGGTTTGCTGAGGCACATTCTTTGGAAGAGCACCTGTAAGGGAACGAGGAAAGCAGGGCTAAGCACAGGGAGATGCTGAACGGCCAGGTAGTTATTGCAGACCTCAGCAGACTCCACAGGAAACTCTAAAGCTGTCTGCCATAGAGCGAAAGGACTTGGGTGCGTCCACATTCACTCATGTGGGATGTAGCTGCCCCTAGAGAGGATCTAACCTGGGTCAGGCCGTGTTCTTTGGTGGACGGAATATCCAGAACGAATTTTCACATTTCTGCCTTGAGGTGCTTTGTTGGTTTTAGGAAAATTGCAGTTACTGTCTCTTCAAATAGTTGTCTTGCTCCATTCAATTTCTTCCCTCCTCCTGATAATCTTAATACATATATTTTTGACATTTCAATCATATGCCATATGTCTTGTGTGCTTTATTCTGTATTTTCCTTTTTTTTCCCTCTCTTGATTTTACACCTACTTCAGCAATTCTCAGTTCAGTGGTGTATAATTTGTCATTCTACCCATTTATTAATCCTTAATTTTCTATGTTTCTGTCATTAAACTTTCTGTTTTCAGAATTTCTATTTTTTTCTTTTTATGATATTTAGTCTTTGTTGATATTTTCTTTCTCTTTTAATTCCTTAAACTTTATTAATAATAGTATTTTTAAAGCCCATATTTGGATTTCCTGTGTCTATTTCAAATGTCATATTTTTTCCCCTTGGTTTTTGGTCAAGTCTTTTTAAATACCTTGTTATTTCTGCTTTATTTGTGAACACTGTCAATACAAATTTATAGAGATGATGTGAGGCTCTGGGTGATGTTATTTTTCCTCTAGAAAGGGTTTCTTTTGCTTCTGGCATGCACTGAACCCTCAGCATTCAGATAACCTTAAACCATTTTAAGGACTGAGTTAGTTCAAAGCTAGCTTTCATTCCGTTTAAGGAAATGCTAGCTCTAGTTTTCCTTACTTTTGGGGCGTCCGAATTGAAAGCCTGGAGTGCTTATCCGGGCCTCTTCTCCTTTGCTGTTTTACAGATTTTTCCCTCTTCTGCCCTGATAGTGTGCCAAAAAGCTTTGCTAAATTCCTCAGTAGCCACTGTCATGATTGTCAGATACCTTGAAAATAAAATCAGTGCCAAAAGATTTTTTTGCCCCTGTTCTAAGGGCCCATGGTTTAGTCTCCTGTCCTATTGTGGCTTTAACGATGCAAAAGCCTCAAAGGCAGTGGAAGGATGAGTGTCAGCTTACCTTCCTGGATTTTAACGTTTTCTTTGTTTCTGATCTCTGAGTATTTATTTTGTTTTGTATTAATTTCTTACAAGCTTACTTATGAGTTTTAAAGTGTATTATTTTTTATCCAGCATTCCTAGGTGTTTTTGTTTTGTTTTGTTTTGTTTTGTTGTAATCGTGAGTGCCTTGAGTTTCTTTTGGGTTTTTGATATTTAGTCTTCTATAGTCTAGATTTTATTTTTTCACCAATGCAATTGCATTTATTTAGATCCACTATTTATTGTTTACAATCCTTTTTGTATGCTTTCTGTCACTGAAGGTATTACCAAAACACGCAAAAATTTCCTGTGGAAGTACATTCTATTTAGTAAATAGTTTAAAGCATTAGCTATATAACTGGGCCATGTTCTAATTTCTGGAGATGAGGTGAAAATCTCGTCCCTTAATGAGTTGATAATCTATATTTTCTCCCACAATATTAACCTCAAAAGGCTCTACGAATACTAAAATCCTCAGACTCATTCATTCTTCAATAATAATGTTTTAATATATTTTTTGAAATAATGGTTTTTAAATGGCAGTAGGGAGCCAGACGCCCACTCTGAATAGTGTATGGTATGACAGAATAGCACTTAAGAAACGTGCAGTGGAAGCAGTGTCCTCAGGAAAGAGAATGATTTTAGTTAAAGCAAGAAGGTGGAGGGAATGCTTAAGAAAGACGTAAGAATCTGGGAGAGTTTGCTGACTACAAAGCAGGAGTTCCAGATGGCAAGCGGAAGGGTTGAGGATGGGATAGCAGAGGTGTCAGGGAAGACTGACTGCCATGTGGAATGTGGTCCAGTAAAAATGGCTGATTGAAGGAGGGATGACACTTGGTGGTGAAATGATAAGGAGAAGTATGATGGACTTGGTCTTTGCAGTCCTCTGAAAAAGGTGGGCCCTAAGCTTAATAGCCAGCAGAACTTAAATAACACAGCCTAGACTGATATTAGTATCAGCCTCTTCTCAGCTCTCATAGTCTGAGATGGCAGCAGTTGCTGGGACTGTGGGTTTTCCACCTGCACTCAATGTCTGGTCAATGTCCTCGCTACTTTGTCCCCTCTTATTCTCTGTAATGTTCTTTCTCTTCTCAGCTCTCATAGTCTGAGATGGCAGCAGTCGTTGGGACCGTGGGTTTTCCACCTGCACTCAATGTCCTCGCTACTTTGTCCCCTCTTATTCTTTACAATGTTCTTCTAACATGGTGTTGCCTAACTTTGTGATTTTCCATTAGATTTTACAGTGAAAATCTTCAGAGAACCAAGGGTGCAATCACCCCCAACTAGGAAAATGTCCCTTAAAAGAACTGCTGTGAGGAAGCCTTCGATACGACCCAGGTAACACATAAGACACAGGAGCTGGCTACAGCAACGCCTCCTGGTACAAGCTCTTTTTAATCTCCACACGTGTAATGCTGAACTTATTTTCCTGTGTGTATATTTCCAGACTCTTTTCCTTATATCATACATGCATGCACGGGCATACTTTGTATGTTAAATCATTATTTTCTCAAATTGGTACCACGCAATATATATCATGCAATAACTTTTTAATGGAACAAATTATCATGGACATCCTTTCGTGTCAGTACGTATAGTCTACTTCCTTCCATAGTATGGATGTAGCATGATTTATTGCACTACATCTTTTTTTATGGACATTTACATTATCTTTAACTTTTCATTGCTATCAATAGTGCCCCAATAATCATTTTGGTCCATGTATTCTTTCCTATTTGTGTTTTTCTGGACTGTGTACTTCTGTAGTAGCCTCCTAACTAGTTCCTTACTTCATGTTTCTCCCCCTTATAATCAGTCCTAGAGTCAGCCTCTGGGCGAGTTCCACGCTAGACAAAGACTCTGTGGCCCTTTCTTTCAGGAGTGCCCACTCGCCTTTCTTTCCACTTCACTTAGCACAAGTGCCACCTCTACAGAAAAAGTTCTCCAAATGTATGTCTGCTATGACTTCCCTCTCCTCTTAAACACTACATCCCTAAAATACAACACCAAGCACTTACCATGGACTAGTTTTCATGGCTCTTTATTTTTAGGTGCATCTTCTACCTTCCTGACTATAATTTTCTTGTAAGCCATGCCATTCATTCAGTCGTTTCTTTTTTTTAAATTCAGCGATTATCTACTAATGACTAGCTATATGGAAAGTTATTTTGTAGGGGATATAGATATATTAGTACATACCAATTTGGTAGTCAAAGTCACTGGCAGAATATTTGTATAAAGAAAGCTCCTGGAAGTATGTTTTCAGTTACTGTTAACATTGATTGGGGGTGATAAGTCCTCTCTCTCGTTTAAATCTTCTAGAAAAATCTTCTTCCCATTAAAGGAACTGAAATTAATCCCTGATATTCAATCATTTATTCCTTTTGCTGTTCTAATTTGTACTACTCATCACTTTCCACTATGTCTACAGAAATACCTATTTTCCAATTTAGTTGAAAACAAATACCACAGAAGTCTTTTCATAATCATATAATCACAAGATCATTAAATTCTAAAGAGACTATGTGGGGTTATATAGTCCAGTTTCATGTCTTCAGTTAATACCACAGCAGAATGGCCCAGGAATACCACAGCTGCAATTCACTTAACCTTGTCCCTAACCCTCAATCAATGTAATATACAATTATTGATCATATACTGTGTCTCAGACGTGATACAAAAACTAGGACATAGTCCTTGTCCTAAATCTAATAACTAAATAAACTACAAGGCTCACCTTAAAATGCTATGATACAATATTGACTAGTTACTATTATAGTTGAAGGAGGAAATTTTGAGTGAGGATTAGGAAAAGTTAAGAGTATCAGAAGAGGCCCTGATCTGTATGTAGGAATTCAATTGCAAAGAAATGGGAGTATTTTGTGGGCAGGGCTGAACCTTCCAAGCTGAAGAAATAAACTCAGAAATATGAAAGTGGTATTTGAAGACATGAAAATAGTTCAGTAGTATTAAGCACAGCATGTATTGAGAGAAGGGACATGTGACATTAGAAAGCTAGATTGAGACCAAAGTAACCGGAAGAAGATCTTGAGTGAATGATTAAGGAATTTGTATCGATTAAATGGCAATAAAGATTCATGGGGGTTCATCGGAACAGAAGTAGCAAAGATACCTATTACATGGATTTTAAAAATATTACTTTGGCAGAAATAGCAAGATAATATGAGGAGTCAGAGACTCAGAGACTGGAGATAGAAATAATAGTTGGAAAGTTGTAGATTTTTGGACAAGTGATATTAAAGGCCTAAAGTAAACAGTGGAAGTAGTTATATAAGGGAAGATACAGATTTAAAAAACACTGAAGATAAGGAATTAGACTTCTAGAACAATGGAGTAAGAACCTCACAAATTGTCTCCCCATAAAAACAATGATAAAACTGGACAAACTTGTCTCAAAAATTTAAAACTCTGTAATTATTATGTTATCCAAATTTTCAACTTAAAAAAATATGATACATTACCTTCCCTCCCCCTCCAAAAAAACACAGAAAAGTACGGCCCACATACAGCAGGAAAAAAGCAATCATTACAAATGGTCTCTGATGTGATTTAGATATTGGACTCACCAAGGACTTCCAAGCAATATGTTCAAGAAACTAAAGGAAACCATGTTTAGAAAATTAAAGTATGATAACAATGACTCATCAAAAGAAAATATCTATAATGAGGTAGAAGTTGTAAAATAGAACCAAAATCTGGAGTTTAAAAGTATGATAACTGAAATAAAAAATTTACTAGAATCAATAGCAGATTTGAGTTGGTAGAAGAATTAGTGAACCTGAAAATAACTCCATAGACATTATCCAGTCTGAAAGAAAAAAAGAATAAACATCAACAGAACCTCAGAGACCTGAGAGACACGATCAAGTACACCAAGATGAAAATGGAAGCCTCAGGAAAGGAAAGAAAGATAAAGGGGTGGGGAAAATTTTGAATATGGAATGGTTGACTACTTCCCAAATTTGATTAAAACTAGAAATCAAAACATACAAGAAGCTTAGTGAATTCCAAGTAAGATAAACTTAAAGAGATCTATACTTAGATACACCATAGTTAAACTGTTGAATGACAAAGAGAAAAATCTTAATGCTGCAAGAGAAAAATGACTTATTATATTGAAGAGAATGACAACAAGATTAAAATTTACATCAGAAATAATGGAGACCAAAGGTGGTAGGATGATATATTTAAACTAAACACAAGAGAAGTTAAAGGAAGTAAGCATTAAATATTAGAGTGGAAATCAATAAAAGGAAGAGGAAAATAGAGAAAATCCAAGTTTCATGTAAAGATCAACAAAATTGATAAACCATTAACTATCCTGACCAATGAGGATAAATGAAATGACACAGATCAGTCAAATCTGGATTGAAAGAGAGAACAAATAAGATTGTAAGTAAATGTAAGGAACAAATTAGATGACTTAGGTAAAATAGGTAAATTTCTAGAAATATCCATGTTTCTGAAGTTGACTCAAAAAGTAGATAATATGAATAAATCTATAACAAGAGAAGAAATTGAATTAGCAATTTAAAATCATCTCACAGAGAAAAGTCTAGACACAGATGGCTTCACTGGAGAAATCTATGGAATATTTAAAGGATAAATAAATAGTCCATGAACTCTTTGAGGAAATAGAAGAAAAAGGAATACTTGCTAACTCATTCTATGAGGCCAGCCAGTATTACCCTGGTCCCAAAGCCAAACAAAGATATTATAAGAAAACTACAGGTCAATATTCCTTCCAAATCTAGACATAAAAATCCTCAATGAAATATTAGCAAACTAAATCTAGCAACATATAAAAAAGGATTATAGAGCATGTCCAAGTAGGATTTATCCCAGGAGTGATTTAATATCCAAAAATTAATGAATATAATATGCCATATTAATGAAGTAAGGGGGGAAACTTCAATTATCTCAATATAAAATTCAGCTCCCATTTAGGATTAAAAAATTCTTAATAAAATTAGAGTAGAAGGGAACTATTTCTTACTGGTTACAGACCTCTATAAAAAAAACCTGTAGCTAGTATCATACTTAATGAAATTGGTATATAAAGGAGGAAGAATGAGTTGTACAATTTGTAGGTGTACATGGAGAGGTTTAAATAGTAACTATGACATCAAGATGAGGTTCAATGGGCAGTTGAAATTTTGAGGTGGAGCTCATGGGAACTGGAAAGATAGTTTTACCATATCAATGAAAATTGAAACTGCAGAGGAGGCAGAGATTACTCAGGGGAAGAAAAGTCATAAGACAAAAGTAAAGAGAATTGAGGGTGAACCATTAGGGGCACCTATATTTAGAGAACAGTGAAAGAAATCAGTAAAGGAAATTTAGAAATATTGATCAATAATTGCTGATCACGCACATTCTGCCACACTGAAAGACTGCCAATTAGGGATTGTTTTGAATCCATAATAGAAAAAGAGTTTCCTTGGGGAAAAACAAAAACAAAAACAAAAAAACCTTTAAATACCTCTCCTCCTCTTCCATTGGGGTTGTCAAATGATTGGACCAAGCTTATGATGGATATATAAAAGTTTATCTCCAAGGAAATAGAGCAACCAATTTATTCACCCTGATCTTCACACAGCCTAGGAGAAGCCCTTCCCCATTCCTTAATAGGAACAGAATCCAGGGATCACCATCCCATTCTCTCCACCAATGATGCTTTCTTGTTTTCCAGAAACTTGGCAGAAGTCATCCTAAATACACAGCACTTGGAGTTCTTCAAGGAGTTCCTCAAAGAACGGAAAGCTGATAGCCCATTGCAATTCCTGATAGCCTTACAGCAGATTGGCACGGAGACAAATGATAAGATTTACAAGTCTCTCTTTGAAAATATAATCAAGACTTTTTTCCATGGCAGAGTCCCCCCTGGTATGCATCTTCTTCTCCTGATACAGTTTACTTCTCTCTTTCGTATCTTAAGAGTCTGGGAAAGAGCCTGTCTAATGTGAGCCCCGCTGAGGGAGCAGAACGGAACAACGGCCACATGGGGCAGTATTGAGACAATGATTAAGAAGGAGTGAAAGCCGAGAACAATAATGAATCCAAAATACATTACTGGTAAAAGAAGCCAAGTACAAGACACTTGCACTTATATGTGAAATATGTCCTCTCACTTAACTTTGTTCAGCTCTGAAAACAGGATTTTATTTACTCTCTAAAAGGTACAGATAAATAGCTCTATTCTACTGATGAAGAAGGTGAACCAGAGAAGCTAACTAACTTATCCAGTTGGTGATACTTGAATTCAAACTCAAGTCATTTGACCTTCAAATCAAATTGACTGGAGTGAGATCAAAGGCAAGAGTTATAAAGAGCATCGTACCTACAGGTTATAAAGAGCATCGCACCAGGGAGGAGAGCTGTTTCCTGCAAATCCTCATAAATTTCGTCTTGTTTTTCTGCCTAAGGCGGGAGGGTAAATCTGACCTATGTAAATTCATCTTGACCAGAAGCAGAAGTTGTAAGTGAACTGTTGACCTATAAGTCTAAAGGGAAATAAAAAGGGAGTGAGCGTGATCCCATCCTAGAGGTAAACAAATCTATAGCAAAGTAATGTAGACATGCCCCCTGTTTTGGCATAGAGAAACAGATGGATTTATTTTTTGCTCGTGGTAAACCAAGATAAGGTTATAGATTTTATAAAAATTTTTAAAAAGAGTAAAATTGGCAAAACTTTACTTGTAAGAAATATTTTACTTAAGTCTCAGGATATCAAGTTGTATACATTGTTTTGAATCAGCTGGAAGACAAAGAATAGTATGCAAATCTTGTCCTTGGAAAGTTTTCAAGTCTTATTAATGAACACGATTGTCTTTGAACACCTGGGGAGTCATACTGTCTTTATAATACTTATTTGTAATCTCGGATTCACCATCTGCCTCAGCAATTTAACTTCAATCCTTTATTCTTCTGCTCCCTTCCTAAACCAAAAACTTCAAACTAGCAGCAGAAATGAGTCTCTTAAACATTTCTTCCCCTTACACACTTATCTTTGAAATTCGAGAGGAACTAAACCAGGATATATTTGCTCTATAAATACAAATAACATTCCAAAGATGTTTTCAAGATTTTCACACAGTTTGTAAAGAGCTCAGAGACGAACCAGATTGAGAATGAGGAACTGTAAGACTCTAAAATGAAAACAACAAAACAAAACAATAAAAAAGCAGCTGCCTAAAAATGGTAGACAAGGAAATGATGGTTTTTTTTTTCTTTCTCTTGCATTTCTTAGAAGAAATGCTGCAGTGCAATAATCCCCTCATCAAAGAAATCCGTCACATGAGTCATGTCAGCACAACCTCCTTACTTATTCTCCAGAGCTGTGTCATGAAATCTCTGGAGGAAAAGTGGTAAGTATTGCCCAGCGAAGGCAGCAGGCCCTTCTGGAGCTTCTCATTGGCCCTCGAAAGCCACAATGTGCAAGGAGGCTCACAATCCATCCACAAAGTTCATGACCAGAGCCTCCCTACAAAGAAAAGCCTTATCTTGAACCCTCTTACCTACCCACCTACCTACCTACCTGCACACACACACATACACACACTCCTGTTCATTTGCCTGAATAAGGAACAATACAGTATTGATCCAGGAAGGATGGGCTGACATCAGCAGAGGACTGAAATGGTAAACGTACTCTTGAGTATCTCACCATCCCCCAATTCCCACTTTGACTTCCTCCAGAAGCTGAGATAGATAGGTTTGCCTTGACTGTTATCTTTTACGTGCCAAGCTTTTTCCTTCTTTGATATTCTTGGTGTCCCTCTGGCAGGTTTAAGGATTACCAAGAGCTGTTCCCACCTTTTTCTCAGGAGGTGCAACCTGAAGTACAAACTGTGCGTAGGAAGCCCTCAAAGATGCCCACGACGTACCTACAGGAATCCCAGGTCAGTGAGGAAAACCGTGAAGACTGGACATTGGTTGGAGACAAGAAAACTTCTGCTAGGCATTGTCAGCCATGCAAAAGAGTTTCACTGTTAGCTTATTTAATCACCAAAACATTTACCCTTTGGGGTAGGTTTTTCAAACCCTGTTTTGCAAAGGAGGAATCTGAGTCTCAGAGAAATCGTTACAGTAGGAATTTAAGGAAGTCCCTCTCTTCACTATCTGTGTGGTACAGGGAC